TGGAATAAATTCATTGATTACTGTACCATTAGTCTTGATTTACCCTGAAAAACAGCTCAAAATTAATGGCTGGACTTTGACTGTAGATTGTTCGAATATGTGACTGTTGCAACATGGCATGAGTTGCTAGATTTATTAGTAATAGGTATCTATGTTTAGAATTAATGGTATGATTCGAGAGATAATATCAAGAATTTTCAATGATGTGCAGTGTACTTACTTATTGCTTAAAATTCCTGGCAGATTTTGACGGATGCCATATTGCAAAAGTATAGCATTCCGAGTTGCCATGAGTGATACCACTGATATTGCAGTCACGTTCATTTTTTAATTAATTCTTCTATACTAGACATCAGGAAAACCAGTCATTCTAAGGTTCTGAGTTAAAATGCTTAATGATTTCTAAGCTTATGATTCAAATGATTTGAATAATCAAAAAAGCTTTAAGTTTTGAAGATTGGAATTAAAAACCTTTCTGAAGATTCCCGAGATCTATAGATTCGAATGCCCTAAACTTAGAAAAAACAAGGTGTGACTTATAATCCAGTTTGCATCTAATGAATGAATTCAGTTATTTAAAATTAGATTTGATCTTAATATGTTGATCTTTATGTTAACTATATGCAAAAACAAAATTATTAATTTTTATGCTTAAGAAGTTAATAGCTTATTTTTAAATAATTTTTCTTTCTCCAGTAGCAGTTTCTTTGCAATAAGCACTCTCATGTATCACTTATTTTATTCTTCCTAAAAGAAGAATCTTTAAATGCCTAGTACAAAAGTTTCAAACTTTTATTTTGTTGGCACATATTTTTCTGAATACAGAGGAGCTGTAAGTTTTTTGTTTATATTTATATGCATTCATGTTAATTGCATGAAAAATGTGAAATTCTAGATAATTTACTTCAAGAGTTTCTATCTATTTAAAACCTGACTCATTTTTTTTTAAACGATATCAGTATGGATTAGCGGCTCTTGAAAATTCAGCAGCAGCTCCCAAATTTTCATGCAATCCATCAAGCTGCTCCTATCTTCATGAAGTTTAGCCACCCTTGGTATGTACATAGTATATAGTAGTATATAATTCACCCCATGTATTTTTTATTTTAGTATTAAACAGCATTATAATTAAAACAATTGGATTTTTTTATAAGAATAGATTAATTGTTTTTCTTTATTTCTCTTAGAAAAGTTCTTTTGGTTTACATCCAAATCTGGAATGGATTAATGACATATACTAACATCCCACTATATAAAACTATAAAACTACTGAGCTGCTGATCTGCATTTTATTTTAGTACTGTATATTACATTCACTGCCTTATTCTTATGAGCTATTCTTCTTTTTTTAAAGTAACCAACAGAACTGTACACAGCATTTGAAATATATGATCAAATTGTGCATAATCTCTCAAGCTGTGCACAGCATTCAAACTGTGCACAGCATTTGCAATGTATGATCTGAATGAACGTACACATAAAACCAAACCTCTGTGTGCATGTGCAAAAGGCAGAAAAATTCAGAGGGAAAAGAAAAGCTGCAATTCTCAGATAAATTTTCGGCTAATCTTTGGAATATGGTAACAGGTAGTTTGGCAACATTTTAGTAAGGCGACAAAGGTTACTAGCTAGGACTTTAGCAGTGTACATGGATAAAGTCAAGAGTGTGCACAATGCCATTTTTGTGCAATTCTGGGATGTTTTTTAAGTGAAAATAGGTCGACGTGTACATGGATACCGTGTATGTGCAATTCTTAAAAACGCGGCAAGCAGTTTGCGATTCTGCACTTTCTCCCAATTTCATACCTAATCTTCGTCATGATTAAGCACTTTTGTTCCATAAAAGTTCTAGCATAAGCGTAATTCGGCTAGCAGATTGTTGAAAAAAAATGTTGAGTTAAAAAAAAAAGCCTTTACTTCGTGAAAACAAAATGGCTTCCAAACAAAAACTAGCAGGTTGCTGTAGCAGGGTTGGTCGCCAGATTTTCGCTAAAAAATCGCCAAGTTACCATTATCCAAAGATTAATCAAATTTTCTTTTAAAAAATATTTACAAAGGAAAAATATCCCTCTTAACACCAAAGAAGTATGGTATACTTTTTACAGTAATCAAATACATACATGAATTATATTAAAAAATTTTTACTTTAATTGCATCCCTCACCTCTTTGTAATAAATGCCCTTTCTTCCAATCAATAGGCAGTACATAAACGCCTCTGGTCGGAATTTAATTTATTCTTAATATTCTTAAGATGGACAGTTTCTATGAAATATTTTATGACCCTCGTATCATGCTAAAATAAATTTTTTGCTCTTGTTTTACTTCTACTTAAATGTTAACCATATCAACTAATAAACTCAATTCAAGCCACTATGTTTGCTGCTATACATTTATCAGGATAAAAATTTCTCAAAGCTTGCAACAGGAATTCAGCGGAAATTGGATTTTTTTTTTTTTTAACCTCAAAAAAAAAAAAAAAAATATCTACACGAGAGAACAACAAACACCTTTCTAATACGACTATTATTTATGAGTCTTGAATAACGCTGATTTGGTTGCTGACCAAAATGATTACCTAAGTACAGTAATTTCGCGCGTATAGTCTGCGGACTATCTGTGTTTAAAATGCGAATTTTTGAAGCTGCAGACTATCCACCAATGCGGATAATACGCTGGTTGTTCACGGTTAAAATCGTTGAAATTTAAAAAACATGCTGTCATGAACTGCTGATGATCAAATATAAAAAAAGCACGAGATTCCAAGAAAACATTCATATGTATCGTATCGATAGTATTCATAGAGCATAGTGCAGAACGAATGAGTAGTAGCAAGTAGAGGTCCTAAAATCCAGGCTGGCGCATCAAGCGATGCCGGGATATGAGCCAAAGAAAGTCTTGTATGAGCACTCACTTAGCGCAACCAGTCTTGTATCCCAGTATCCTTCGCATTGCTTTAGCGCAACTGCCGGGAGGGGTAAAAGTAGTTGATGCGTCAGCTCGGTTTTTAGGAGCCATAGTAGCAAGTACCTGGAGCACGAAAAAAAGCACAATTCATTTACTTATAGCGTGGTTTGGCAACACCGAGTGAGTGGGGTCGAAGGTCACATTTCATTACCACTTATCACGAGGATAGCACGTTGCACAGTATTTTGTCTTTCATCTTCGATAACGTTGATGAAACATCACCGGAGTTTTACTGCTGAGTTAAACTCAAGGTAGTTGAGAAAGCTGAAAAAGATGGAAATAGAGAAGCGGGCCGTTATTGGTTTAATCCTAGTATCTGGTGCACACGGGATTTGACTACTTTTGGCGACTTTATGATGAGCAATGAAAACGGGACATATACAATGAGTAGTTAACGGGTCATTCAAAGAAAATATATAGTTAAACATAGTATATACCATGTATATAGTATATATACTATGTGTGTATATACATATACTATTTGTGTATATACATATATTATGTGTGTATAGTATATATATAGACGTTCTTTGCAGAGTCGTAGCTAGGGTTTTCAGCGCCCAGGGACAACTGAAGATTTCACGCCCCCTACTGCTTGACAAGGATGGAAAACATTTAATTCTAAAATGCCATAACACTTTGGCGCCCCTTGGATTCTGCGCCCGGGGACAGATGCCCCCCTTTAGCTACGTTCCTGGTTTTTTGGATCATTTTGGTGTTGGCGATAATTTTCAAAGTCGCGCCAAGGCTGCACCGTATACTAGGATTTTACCCCGTTATTTTGAAGTGGACGAGAAAGTGGTGAGAAATTGGCGCAAACAAAAGGATGTGTTTAAAAAGCATGGGAATATTGCCGTATTAAAAAAACTTAATTTCGGATGTATAGTCCGCGGACTATACGACGATTTTTGAAATTTTTTTTATATAAAATCGTGTCTGCGGACTATACGTGCGAAATTACGGTAATTGCAACCAGTAAATACCCCGAGGTAGGGTCATTTTGAAATTTATTTTAACATGCTATACAGCACACTTTTTTTTTTCCACTACTACTATTTTTGGTACTTTTTCTAAATAGCAGGGTGCAAAGGTAAGAAAAAATACCATACAACCATATTTATAAGTGCCTAAATGAATAATCCTTTAGAACAATGAACTAGTTGCTACATTATTTGAACCATACAATTGGTAACATTTCACACTATATATAGTGGTTCTCCAATTAAAAGTGATAGAGGGATTTTTAGGGGGAAAAAAAATAGTTCAACATTTAAAGAAATTGCACACATTATCAACACTCCGGTTTAGAAATTCTTCAGTCTTAATTCTGCAGACGAGAAATGAAGACAGTTTACTTCTGAATGTGTTATAAACAGCCTCCTTTTCACACAAGTGAATGGAATACTAAAGAACTCTAGATGTAAGTGGGACTTTACATCCAGCAATTTTTGTCTTGTTCCTTGGACAAACATGTGAGACAGAAATGACTATGTTAAAGTGCTAATGTCAGTTGTGTAATATTATTATAATATTAATATGAGAGCCTTACAGATTACATTTTGACTTGAGCAGCAATTTTGTACAATTTACATATTTGTACCATTAACTATATATTAATACAAAAACAAATACTCTTAATAATTTTGCTACAATAAATTTCATAAATATTACGATAAATTCCCAAAGAAACATTTAGAGATAACACCCTAACTGAAAATGGACTCCTGAAATGAAACGAATTAATTTTTGACATGAATAAAAACTACTCATTAAACAAATTAGAAACACAAACAATTAGGAGCAAAGTTTCACAGAAATAATCCTATATTTTATCTTTACATGAAATAGTTATTCTTAAAAATTAATATATACACACATTTTCTTAATATACAAATGTGCATTCAGAAGAACCAGCTACCAATAAAGATTTTGAACTGCTTGTTAATTTTCAAACAGATTAAACTGCTTGCTAATTTTAAATATCCAGAAATATAGCATTTAAAAAACATGAAGGAGGAGAAAAAAAAGAATTTACCATTTTAAGATACAGAGACTGAAGTTTCAAATGACTATGAATATCTTCAGGTTTTATTGACAATGTAATTTTAGGTTTCCGACCAGAATTTCTTTGTATTATTTCCAAAACTTTACACGGCATACACATACCTAACTTGATTACCGAATCCAAAGACAGCTGGAAGAAGAAAAAATAATTATTTTTGTACAATTCATTTCAAATACATAAATATCATTCAGTGTAATTTATTTAAAAGATAATAAAACTTTTTTGATGAACAAACTGAATATTAAGACTGAAATATAATAATCGTAGCAACATACTTAAAATGAAATATTTTTAACTTCTACTATTAATCACAAATAAATTTATGAAAAATGTTAGAGGTATAATGTAATAGAAATTACGCATGAATACTTTTAGAGTTCAAAAACAGTACAAATAACTGCTACGAGGGTATTTCCAAAGTAACAGAAATGTGATGAAAAATCTGCATGTGAATTTTTTTTTTCTGTGGAATTCACTAGCTAAATCTGCTATCCCCAGCAATATGCCATGAAAAAGAAGGGTATAGCATTTTTTGCATATTATTTTTACAAAAATTATTGTTGATGCTTTATCACATTTACTACATGATATTTTTTCAAAAATTTCATGAATCCAAATATACTGGGGGGAAAGAAAAAAAAAGCCCTCTCCATCCTTCATCACTTTTATGAATATTAGGCAAATTCTAAAAAGAATGAAACTAAAAATTATAAATTCAAAATATCTAGTGATTTTCTGGCATTTTAAATTTTCCCACAAACATGAAAAAGGAAAGTATCCAAAAAAAAAAAAAAAAAAAAAAAAAAAAAAAAAAAGGTTTTTCGCCCTCCAAACAGCATTTTAATATACCTTAATTACATTTAAATCATTTGTCAGTTTAAAATAATTTTCCCCTTTAAAAAACTTCACAAAATTGGAAAAAGAATCCTGCTATTTTATCTAATTTTAAATTACTTTAATACAAAAACAAATACTCTTAATAATACAAGATCACATACAAGACTAACATTTTTAATGAATTTTAGCATGTGGGAGAAATTTTTATATATACCTGAAAAGAAATAATTATGCCTATTCTTGATTTAAAGATCTAGGAAATAATTTAATTTTCTTAAACAAAAGTTAGCCTGTTTTATTCATATCAACAATTAGGTTACAAAATTTATATTATATGTGTGTGTGTGTGTGTGTGTGTGTGTGTGACATCAGCTTTTGTCCAGAATAAATAGATCGTTGAAGAAATATAGATGTAGTCCCGTAGCTTAATTATCAGACGATAAGTTTAAAAAACAGATCCATTTATTATTATTCAGGAGAAATAGCAGTTACAAAATCAGATATCCGGAGTAAATAAAAGAATTACTAATAACTTTTGTATGAAGTTTACTGCATCGTTGCATTAAAGAAAAAGCCCCCGATATTCTTTTGAGAGTCCTTTTATAGTCTCTGGAAAGGCGGAGCTTCCAAGAAATGACGTCAACCTCGTCAGCCAATCCAGTTCGCTTTAAATATTTCCAGAACATTCTATAACTGTACGTGTAGAAAAGGCTGGAAAAACAACTTGACTACGGGGCTGTGGATTTAATTCCACATACTTTCAAATAAGAGAACGTCACCATTAAAAAAGAAAAAAACATACAGTTAGAATTTTAAGTGTATTCTTGACTATGGAATTTTATTATTACAAATATTTTCCCCATCTGAAAAGGCTTGAAGCCGGGCACCTCGACCACAAGACATTTCAGATAGTGAAAAAATATCTTAAATAATTGCTTAATTTGTTTGAAGAACTCGCATCCAGAATTCGAGTTACAATAATATTAATCTTAAATAGACACTCTCACTATAACACAGTTATAATAATATCAATATAAAATTGTAATAATAAACCTTAATATATTTGTAATAATATATATATATATATATCAACATTTTCAGAACATTATTACTCAGTTTCTGAAATACGACATTTTACCCTAAGCTTGCCATAAGGATACAAAATGCACGAGGTCTCTGCAACACTTGACCTTCCTAAAAATAACTTACGAGACATTGTGAGATGTAAGGCTAGCCTGAGGGCCCTCTTGCATATGACAAAACTAATTTTTTACAATTGTTCCTGCGTCAACAGTATTTCTTTTTTACTACGTCTCCATAACCAGCAGTGGTTTTTTATTTTAATTTTCAATGACCGTATTCAGGATTTTCGTCTTTCAGCTAGGACTTTGTGCATTAATGTTTCATATTAATGAGCCTTTGGCAACATTTCCAAGATGCTGGTTATAGCCATGCAGGCTGATGCCAGACCTGCAATTTTGATAATGGTAATGTTAATGGTTAAAAGATAGCAGCAATTGCACTATCTATAGATAGCAATATTCAACGATTCTTAAGTTTCTGACTGTAATAGTGGATTTTTATAATTTTTCACATATTCTGAGGTAAGTGTGCTTTATCTCTTTCCTATAGCTGTATTTGTTTCATTATTTTTAATATATGCTATTACTATTATTATTACAGTAGAGCTCCAATTATCTGGGCTACAGCCATATGAAATTCTGCTATTTTTACTGACAAAAGAATGTTTTGAGTTTTCTTTGAGGGAAAGTTAAATGTTTTACTTCTTTTATACTTTACAATCTCTAGTGAAACAAAGTCTGACAAGTAAAAAATTTCTTCACTTGCTGAATAGCAAGTGTATTTTTAGCCTACAGTAAAAAGTTTAAAAAGAATTTTACTGATTTTTTTATGATACAGATGGGCTCTAGTCCAACTTGTAAAGATAAATTTAGCTCTAATACACAGCCTTGATCAAATTATTATACATTTCATAAGACCTTATTCCTAATAACACAGTGTTATGACTCAGAGCAATATGTATGGTATGAACCATTATCTTTTAAAAAATTTCACCTTGATAAAATCGTACATTAAGTTGTGGAAAGAGATGTTTTATCAAGATCTTGCACTTTTGTGAATTTACACTCCCTTTCACTATTTCAGTGTGTCCAGTACCGTAAACAAGTATGTGCTCCAAATCATTAAAGATGCAGTGTCTTTGGAAGTGTTGGTTTGAAGTGTCGTTCTACACAACCTTTTGGCAAAAACATGTCAAAAATATGAAAAATATTTCTTGGAAGCAACAGAGTGAAATGTTTTTAAAAATAAGCAAATTTATTTTGAGCATGAAAAATAATAAAATTTTGAACAAATAGCCTGCTCCAATCCTGAGAACCCCATTTGGCATACATATGGGTCTATAAAAAATGTTCTTTTTATCACAGAATGTGCCAACCTTGGTTTTCTATGTGGTCTTCTTCATTGGCTTGACAGCCCAGGATAGGCTCTGGCCTTCTTGACAGATCTTCTACAGGCATCTCTGCTTTTGGCATCTTTTTTCCAGTATGTTACCTTTAGTATGTCATTTTCAATGCAATCAATCCATCTCATTGGTGGGTCTACCTGGAGGTCTGGTTTCCACAGGCTTCACCAGAAAAGATTTTCTTACAACACATATCTTTATGAATTCTGGCCAGATGACCATTCGCCTTGTAGCCAGAAGAAAAAGAAAAGATAGAAGCATTGGAAAATCAAAGTGAGAATGTGAATGACACGAGGAGCAGCAGCAGCATGCAAACATGGATGAAAATGCCATCTTCGGAAAGAAAGGCAATGACAAGCATATAGTGGAACATGCAAAGAAAGCCAGAAACCAAATGCAAGCAAGGAAGCCAAAGGGGCCAACGCGCAGAGATTGAAGGAGGCAGCGGGAAACACCAAAGGACATACAAAGAATGAAGAACGGCAAAAAGAAGTTCAAGTCTCACACTCAAAATATAAAGAGGAATCCGATGTCAAGATGGCTAAGGAACAAACGTTCAGCCAAACAAGCTGCAGAGACATGAAGGAAAATCCAGCTTTTTCGACTGTGTGATTGAAGGAAGGAAAGATCAGCAAAGAGTTTGACAAAGAAATAAGTGACTGACCTAGCCAATAGCCGCCCACTCCGAAGAAAAATGGGACAGCAAGTAAGAGGAAGTTCAACAAAAAATTGCAAAACCAACGTTGCAAATGACTGTAGGTCTGCCAGATAGAGGTTTATCCCAGCTGGAATGAATTCCTCAAGAAACATCTGGAGAAATAATACAGATCCAAAAGATAAGTGAAGTTTAATTTTCATCTTAGTAAAGTTCAGTTTTATTTTATATTCAGATGTCCATAGTTGCTAAATTCAATTAAGTTTTACCAAGTCTGGTTATTCTAGTTCATTTCAGGAGCAAAACAGCTTGAAAGCTAAATTGTACCTATCTGTGTTTAATTTAATGTAGTCGAGAAATAAGAATGCAATTTTAGTCTGAGAGAATACTTTCAGAAACCAGGAGTGCAAATGTTAAGAATTTCAAAGCAACTCGTGTACCTCAATTTAAAGTGCAAGCTTAATTCTTTAGTAAAAGGTTTATACAATGCATTTGGTTGTATATTGTGTTTTGTTGTACAAAGTATTAACTGATATATGTTTTGTTTAATAAGACTTGCCTGGTTATAAGAATTTAATTATATTGTATGAATGAAATGTGATGTGCAAGCTATCAAATTGAGAAAAATTAAGGTTAGTAAAATTAGCTGTGTTCATGAGTTAAGTTAGGCTCTTCAGCCAACACTCAAGTTTAATCACACTCTTGTTAGCACATTAGGTGCAGTTCTGAAAATAGGATGTCTTTGAGGTCTCAAGTGTCAAGTAATATTAACATGCAGATTGTTGGTTAGTTGGTAGTGTCTGTAAAGACACTTACAAAAGACACTGTTTTCACTACTACACTCCAGTTTTTCTGAAGATCAATAGGGAAAGAGATTTAATTGTGGAATAAATGTGTGGCACGAAAATGCAGAGGAAATTTAACAAAAGATTTTGTGAAAATTATATACAATACAAAGTCGGAGGATCCAGACTCGTTGAGACTTCGGCGATTCCGGATTTGGGATTTTACCGGATATTAGATCATATGTCATTATTTCACTAGATAGTAAAATGGAATGTAGAAATTATAAAATTAAAAATATGAAATCATGATTTATGAAATAATGAAGCAGTTATGATATAATAGGTATCAAAATTTACAAAAAAAGGG